AAATTTTTCAGATTTCTGTCTATAGTAATTTATATATAAAACTGCATCACGTTATACTATGATCATTCTTCTGTTCATTGGAGAATCATCAATTAATAAACTATATACAGTATTAGATAAATTAACAAATTAACTTTTAAAATTCAAATTTATTTTCCTTAAAACTAGCTAGATAATTCACTTGCTATTATCACCATTAACTTTTTTCACATGCTATCCAACCAGGTTACTGAATATACAGAATCAAATTTCCTAGATAATTTATTTAATAGAATCTAACTAATTATATTATCATATTTAAAACTTATAAAATTAATATCTTCATTCTTATTTGTTAATTCTTGAACAGTTATATCAGGAGCATATCAAATATCAAGTTACAAATGTGTTGTTCTTATTACAATATGTATATTTGCTATCCTTTATCAACCCAAAACCAAATTTTATATAGAGTTTGGGATTGGATTTGGATATCATGAGTTTAGTTTCAGTTCAGACTTGAAAATTATAAATTGTTTGGCACAAATTTATATATATTTTTTATTTAAGTTGATACCAACCCCCTAGCATAACCACCCTAAAAAATTTCACTACTATTTCATCAGCCAAACAGAATTCAACATCTGGTATAATACGAAAAACTCAAAAAATCAAAACAAACCAAAAAATCGTTCATAACTCAACATTTTACCTATGAAACTACTTTTTGTATATTAACAAAAAGTTTTCCTTATGAAATTTTAATATTAAAAAAAAACTTTTTTTTAACTAATTTAATAGCAAAACCTAACCTTAATTTAACTGCAAAATTTTTTTTAGCAAAATTTTTTAAGTTGACGATGCTAGTGTCTTAGTTGAAACCTATATCTGGGTATAACAGGTAATCTTTATATCCAGGTAAACCCATTAATCAACCTAGGTTGATTCACTAGCTGAAGCTAGGCTAGTACTAAACAATAATACAAGCCAACTATACTATAGCAAAATTATTATCTGGGCAGCTTTACTTAGTACATAGGCTACCAAAATTTTGGGAGAAATTTATCAATTCTGGCCTATTCTGACCCTAAATTTTGGTCAATTGGTGCTTCCTTAATATTATGAAATAGTGGTTAGAGTTGTATTACAAAAATTATAATTTTACATTTCATGTAATTTTGTGTAAATTTCAGTTACTTGAATTTTATATAAATTTCACACACACTAGCACTATAAAAAACTCAGCTAGCATTATTGAACTACAGTAGATTCTGCATAAAGTTCACTGACCAAATTGATGTACATATGATCCAACTATTCATATGAGCATATGATCACATTTTTTACAAATTACATGAAAACGATGTTACTGAAAATTTACACAAAATTTCACAAAATTACGTAAATTACAGTAATTTGACAACCCTAATAGTGGTTAAATCACCGTCTTAATAAATTTCTCTGGCCAATCAGATTTCAAGATCTTGTATAATGCAAAATGGTGATGCTGGATTTTTACATTAATAATATCATCGATTACTGTAATTAAACTACCACTATAATTTACTGATATATTCAGACTGATCTGAAAAAAAACAAGTATTACATATGTATAAAATAAGTCCTTTTTTTCGATCTTGTTCTTGTTCTTGTTCCAGTTCTTATTTTTTTGTTCTTATTTTTTTGTTATTGTTATTATTTTTAATCTTGTTTTTTTTCACCTGATTCGTAATTTCTAGTTCATAGGTTTCTGGCTATTTGGTCTCTAATTCGTTGGTCTCTATCTTGTTGGTCTTTAATTTGTTGATCTCTAATTTGTTGGTCTCTAATTCATTGGTCTCTATCTTGTTGAACTCTAATTCGTTGAACTCTAATTTGTTGTACTCTAATTCGTTGGTCTCTAATTCATTGGTCTCTATCTTGTTGGACTCTAATTCATTGGACTCTAATTTGTTGGTTTCTAACTTGTTGGTCTTTAACTTGTTGGTCTTTAACTCGTTAGTCTCTAACTCGTTAGTCTCTAATTTGTTGGTCTCTAATTTGTTGATCTTTATCTTGTTGATCACTAATTTATTGGTCTCTAATTCATTAGTTTCTAGCTTGTTGGTCTCTAATTTGCTGGTCTCTAATTTGTTGGTCTCTATCTTGTTGAACTCTAATTCATTGGTCTCTAATTCGTTGGACTTGCTGGTCTCTATCTTGTTAGACTCTAATTTGTTGGACTTTAATTTGTTGTACTCTAATTTGTTGGCCAGTAATTATCAGTCTGAG